CTAACCTAACCCTAAACCCTAAACCCTAAACCCTAAACCCTAAACCCTAAACCCTAAACCCTAAACCCTAAACCCTAAACCCTAAACCCTAAACCCTAAACCCTCGCTTCTTGTAGAAGCTCCCGTCGTGCCTGCTGACATGTCGAGCGGATGGCTTCTGCGATAGCGTCGGGGGTGCATCCCTCAACAGCCTTGCAAGCCTGAGCTGTCCTACTGTTAGGAAAACGCTTCGCGAAGCTCTTCACTTTCTCGACAAGATCAGCTTCGAGGACCGCGGCATCCACAAGCTCGCCCTGCGTGTCACACACATAATTGGCATGATCTCCGATACAGCATGTTGCGAACATTTTCATCATACTGAAGAACCATATTTAGAAAGCTATTTGAAGTATACAAACCTCTCGCTTGCAGCTTCCTTGGCGCCCTGGCGGCTTCCCCTACACCACGCGTGCAGCCTTGGTGCCTGAAATAACCGGCGCTGGTCCTAAACCCTAAACCCTAAACCCTAAACCCTAAACCCTAAACCCTAAACCCTAAACCCTAAACCCTAAACCTAAACCCTAGTAGTAGTAGTAGTAGTCGATTTTATTAGAATGCTAGAATAGTCGCATCGGGTACCTTCCCGGTCTAGTCTAGTCTAAATGGGTTCTCACGCTTGGCAGAGCGGCCCTTCTTGGATGGCCCGTTGTGGCATCCAGAGTTCTATCGCTGTTCCGCTGTTTCTGTGGTTTCCATAGTCCTCCGTTCCGAGCCGCCGGTGCCGTATCTCTCCGGGCCGGGTTGACGTTTCAGTGTAACCGTCACCTTTCTATTTTTGGCTAAGACATGTCCTTCCTGCCTGCCGCTTGTGAAGCTTCCCCATCGGTCTGTCCTCGTTGCCCTTTCCCCTGTCGTCATCCATCTGTCTCCTGTGTCCTTGCCCCTTCCTTGCCATGTTGGTTGTTTTTCGCCTGTGAGGCTTCCCCTTCGGTCTGTCCTCGTTGACCGTTGCCCTTTCGTCTTCCATCTGTCTTCTGTATCCTTGCCCCTTCCCTGCCATGCTGATCCTGGTTGCTTGCTTTTGAGGCTTCCCTTTTGATCCTTCCTCGTTGATCTTTACCCAGTCATCTTCCAACCATCTTATATCCTTCATGCTTGTTCTCTGTTAGTCGTGTCTCCTCGTCTCCTTGAGGTCCACAGCATGTGTTGCACTTCGAGCAGCTGGATGACTATCTTGGTCATGGCTCTGTCAATCATATCCTCGTCCATGAGCAAGTTCCGGAAATTTGTGGTCCATTCCCGCTCCATAATACTGCCTCTCACTCCTGCAATGAACGTGGCTTGTATGACCTCTGTGTTGTCGCTCCTGCTTGTCATCTCTGCCCGCAGTGCTGCATATTTCTGTTCTTTCTCCTGAAACTTTGCTTTCAGGTTTGCCAGACTGCTTCCCTCGCCCGTGAACTCTGAAGTTCTCGCTATCTCCACCAGCACAATGCGATTGCTCCCTCTGAAGTAGCAGAGCCCATCTGGTATGAGATTGCCGTGCTCTGGTGCAGTCAGTCCTAGCCCTGTCATAGAGTTGATTGGCGTTTGCCACCAACTCTCCTGTTCAACACTTTTCTTCTTCCAGCTTTCTGTCAGGCATCCCTTGATTGTCTCCATTACTCTGTTGTGTGCCAACGCGATCATGAGCTCAAATTCTTTGCAGGCTAGCTGAACATGCACCCAGCTTTCTTCCCTGCCTTCGCACCATGGGCAACAGGGGGATGTCGTCTTCTTCCACTGGAACAGCTTTTTCCTCGTTGGTGCTGACCAGGTAATAGCTTGGATAGCTGTCCGAAGTACTGATCCGCGACACCTCTGTAAGGCTCGACCTAGGATCCTTCTGCCCACTTGTGGTTCCAGGAGAAAGGTTTCCGTCAAGGTGAGGGGGGCTTCTTTCCTCCTCAGTTCCAGTTGTTCTTCTCTGATTATCTTATCCCATATTTTCAATCGATCCATCCCCGGCTTGAAGTTATCTTCGTCTGCAATGCAGAATCCCAAGTCGCTGTCGATGAGGGCCCGTTCCCACGTGGAGGAGAAGGAGGATTTTCCCTTGCGGGCTTCTTCTGCAGCTTCTTGCACTACGGTGTGGTCTGTGATCATAGAGAGGTTGATCTCAATGCCCTCCCGCTGAAATTTGCTCAGGCATTCCTGCAGTCTTCCTGCCAAGTCGTATACGAGCTCGTCTTCATACTGCATGGTAGACCATCTGAGGGTGTCCGTAAGAAAGCGATGCATTCGGGTTGATTTAAAGAGGACGAAGATTTTCCTGATTGTTTTCTGTTTGCCTCTTTGTTCCCAAATCGCTTGTAGGAGTATGCAGAGTGCGATGGTATGTGCTCTGATGACGCTGCATTTTCCGTGTATCTTGATCGCTCCGCGTTCCTGCTCTCCTTCCTTGTCTTGCGTGCTGTATCCTATCGACATTGATCGACCCTTCCTGTTTCGTGATATGTCGCCGTGGATTGCGGACCACACTTGGTTCCTGTTCTTCTCCTGTTTGGCCGAGGCTTGATAGTTTTCGTTTTGCTTCCTTCGGTATTCTTGTAGCTCCTCCTGTTCAGGGATCAGGTGTACTGTGAGTTGGACAATTATTCTCTCTTGTTCCGACTCCTTGCAGTAGACAATCAGGTCGTCTTGTGCCTTCCTGAGGCTCCGATCGCCCGTCCTCCAGAAATTTGCAGCGTAGCATATTTCTGATCCTTTAGGTACCTTACCGACTAGCATGAAGCCGTCAGGGATTTCTTTCCTGAAGCAAGTTTGGTTCCATCCGATCAAGATTGTTCCAGACTCGCATGCGGCGTAGCTGAGGTATTGTTCCTGTTGGTCGATCCATATTATTTCACGTCGAACCTCGTCTTCCTGCAAGCTATCGGTTGCGGCCTGGATTGTCGGGTGATAGAGGGTGGGCCAGTTGCTGAACTGTTTTGTTTCAGCGAGCATCCCCAAGTGTTCTAGAAATTCGTACGACAGCGGAAGGCCTTGTTGTCTATCTCGAATTTCAGCCATGGCGGTGGTTAGATGTTCCCACCAAGCTTGCGAGTTGAGTGAGCTGTTATGTGTTTTGCTGATATACTTAGCAATTTGCAGTAGGATCTCTGTCTTCTCTGGGTTCTTGGCTCCATCTTCATCTTCTTTCCTCGCAAATGGCGCCGAGCGAAGGGAAGGTTCAGCTTCTTTGATGTCTTGTTCTTGGCCCGTGTGACTTCTGGGCCGGTCCATGATTGCTATGTCGCCCTTGATTTTGAAACTTTCCTTACCTTTTAGGATTAGGTGTTCCTGTTGATCCAGATTGCCTAGTAGTTTAGCCATGAGGGATCTTGTGTTTGCATGAGCTGGGTGTGGCCTTCTCTCTTCTGCTGCTTCCCGATGCTTTTTGGATGTCTCCTCCCGGTCCTCCTCTGATTGCGGGTGTGACTTTCGTTTTCGGGTTGTAGCACTATCCTGCGTGGCAACCTCTCGTCTTTTCCTCTTTGTTCCTGATGCTCCGTTGACGCTGCTTACCCAGATGACATTTTCTTGTAGCAGTTGCATTACGATCCCCTCCGCCTCCTCGCGTTGCCTTGGGAAAGGCCAGAGCTTCCTTGGCAAATGCAGTTCTTCGTCAGCGATAGGTCGTATATTGCGTAGCAAGGAGAATTGGAGTTTCGGGAGTTGCCTCCATAAGGCTTGGAAGGTCGTCCAGCCTTGTGGTCTGTCGCTGTCGTTCAAGTTTGCCACCATATCCTCCATCCTATGAAGGAGGGAGATGCTTCCAGGTAGGTGACCTGCTTCTATGTGGGCCCAGCTGATCCTCGTGTTTAGTTTTTCCGCCAGCCAGACTGCTAAAGCTTCGGGTCCCCGCACCACATCACGTTCCAAGGTTCGAAAATTCATTTCTCTTTGGAGCTCGAGGATTGTTTGGCATCCCCATTCCGCCAACCAGTTTCTGAGTTTAGATATCAGTCTATCTTGGATGTCTCCACCTTGCTTACTATTCACTTCTCGTTCGATGTGTTGTATACACAACACAGAGATTGTCAACGACACGAGTAAAGTAAGGATGAAGAAGATTGAGAAGCAGGAAATAGAAGTCTCTAAGTTTACTAGGAGGTAAACTACGCACAACCACCACACTCACTGTGCATGCAAGTGGGGGAAATTCAGGAGGCCGTCCGCACGAGATGCGTCCGCCTATATAGGGAATATCCGGCAGAGTATCCGACGAGTCACCCGAGGTTCCGGATCCTCATGGATACAACATCGCTCCATCTGCGCTTGACAACTTAGTTCCAACTTGTCCTTCGCTCTTACCATGAGGAGATGAACGACAGGATTCAAAGTTCCACTTCGGACGAGTCGGAGGAGTCCAAGGCGTTGGAGGGTAAAGCTTGAAGAGCTTCACGTTCTTCGAATTGACGGATGAGTTCGCGAAGACCTGATTTCTTCTGCAATTCACGAGCAGGGAGCCAATTGTTCTCACTGACTTGATCATAGCCTGTCCACTTAACAAGGTACTGAATACCTCGACCGCGACGACGTTTGCTGAGGATGCTCTCGATCTCGTATTCCAAGCCGTCTCTGGTGGCCAGAGGTTCGGGTGGTCGCTGGGGATCTTGATAGGCAGGGTCGCGCTCTGTATGCGGACGAAGCCACTTGATGTTGATGACGGTGTTTCTGATCGATGCGAAGCGAGGAGAGACGTCGAGACGAACGGTGTTGTCTGAAACAAATTCCAGGATGCGGAAGGGACCAACGAAGCGAGGGTTGAGCTTCGAGGCGGCGTCGGGGATGTTGAGGTTGGCGGTAGAGAGCCAAACCAGATCTCCAACTTGATAGCGGCAGGGACGACGGGCCTGCGCAAGGCGAGCTTCGGTGGCTCGCGCTGCAGCTTCGAGAGCAGCTCGGGCAGCTTCGGCGCTGACTTCGGTTGCTTCACGAATGGAGTCGAGGGTCTCGTCCTGATGATCGTCAGGTGAGGGCAGAGAGAGTTGTGTCCTGATAGGTTTGCCGAACATGACTTCGAAAGGGCTATCCCAATCGGCTCGGAGATACTGCGTGGTGTAGATACGCAGAGCTTCGAGGACGACGGAGTTCATACGCTCGGGTCGACCGTTGCTTTGAGGCATAAAAGGCGACGAATGCTTCACGTGAACGTTGAGCATCTTGAAGAGCGCGTTCCAGAATCTGGACGAAAAGATGGCAGCGTTGTCGCTGATAAGGACCTGAGGAAGGCCTTGGGATCGAAACACGGTTTCGATGAATTTTTGAGCAGCTTGTTCAGAAGTAATCGATTTACGGCAGGGGGTGAGATAAACTCGCCCTGTGAACTCGTCAATGAAGAGAAGAATTGCATCGTTCTTATCTCGAGTTCGTGGGAGTCCGGTCAGCAAGTCGAGACTGACGACTTCGAAGCGTGTCGAGGGAACGGCGTGGGAATGAGGAGTACCCATTGGTCGTTGTCGATAAGATTTCCCTTGAAGACAATGCTGGCATGACAGGATGTAAAGCTCGGTATCTTTCCGAAGCTGGGGCCAATAAACGGTTGCTGCTAGCTGAAGGTAGGTTCGTGAAAACCCGAGGTGGGACTGAAGGTCGTGGGCGCGGAAGAGAACTTCTCGACGCAATGCTTGCGGAATGCACAGGCGGATGCGGCGCAGCGAATCTGTATAAAACAGAAGCTCATCATCCAGATGAAAAGAAGTGACGGAAGACTTGGCGCGGAGACGTTGGATAAGAGGACGACAGAAGTCGCACGTCTCGTAGGCGGCTTGAATCTGGTCCGACAAAGGCTGCAAGGCGCTGACGGTGAAGGCGAGCAAGAAGCCGTCCTCTTGACGGGAGAGTTGCTCGTGATGAGGAGCGACTGCAGTCGAGAGGGGAACTTCATCTTGACGGCTGAGAGCGTCGGGGACGACGTTCTGAGAACCTTTGACGTAACAGTACTCGGTGATTGCAAACTCGCTGAGCGTTTGAAGCCAACGAATCAATCTGCTGTTGATGTCTTTCTGTGTCTGGAAATACGTAAGAGCTTGATGATCAGTAAAGACCTTGAATGGAGTCCCTATCAAGTAGAACTTGAAGAAAAGGATGGTATCCTTGATTGCGAGTAACTCTCGTTCGGTCGCGTGATATCGTTGTTCGGTCGGAGTCAACTTACGACTGTAGAATCCGATGACGCGGGCGGGGGCGTTGGGAGGCTGCTGTAGAAGTACGCCTCCTATCCCGACATTGGACGCGTCGCAGTGCACTTCGGTCGGAATGGACGGGTCGAAGTGATGCAGGAGGGGCTGAGACGTCAGAGCTTGCTTGAGGTTGTCGAACGCGCTTTGACATGCTGCAGTCCACTGAAACTGAGCGCCCTTGCGGAGAAGGTCAGTCAGAGGGGCTGCTATTGTCGAGAAGTTGCGGATGAACTTTCGATAATAGGAAGCTAGTCCAAGAAACATCTTGACTTGTTTAGTAGTCGTCGGTAGCGGCCACGCGGAGATAGCCGCCGTCTTGGAGTGTTGGGTCGTCACGCCGTCGGCGGAGACACGGTGACCTAAGAAGTCAACACTAGTGCGAAAGAATTGAGCTTTCTCTCTCTTAAGGAAGACCTGATGCTCGCGACAGCGTTGAAGCACGGCGCGAACGTGATCGGCATGAGCTTCCCAGGTGGAATACGTAGCGATGACGATGTCGTCGATGTATGCAAACGTGTGGGGTAGATCATGGAGGACCTGCTGGATGAATCCTTGGAATATGCTGCTGGCAGTGATGAATCCAAATGGTAGGCGCTTGTATTGGTAGTGACCAATCGGTGTAATGAACGCGAGATATCGGCGATCAGGAACACGTACGAGTACCTGCCAAAAACTCTTGATACAATCAAGCGTAGTGATGCATAGCTGCTCATCGGTTTTGCGACGGGCTTTGCCTTGACGGACTGTGTCGGCGATCTTTTCCAACATCTCATCGACGACGGTAGGAGTTGCGGCGGTCTGCTGATTCAAGACGACTTGGTTCAAGCGGCGAAGGTCGCAGCAAAAGCGGTAGCTTTTGGGATCAGTTGGGGAGCGTGGATCGTTGGGGCGTCGACTGAAAAGCACAGGAAAGGCAAACTCACTATTGGATGGCTCGATGATGTCGTGTTCGAGCATGTACGCGATGGTAGCCTGGAGTTCTCCTTCAAGATGAAGGGGGATGCGATATGGCCTGCAGTTGATGGGCAAGGTCCCTGGCTTGAGCTGAATGTGAGCGTCAAACTGAGGGGGACGGTTGATCTGAAGTCCTTGCGGCAGGTCGTCGACGAGGACGTCGGCGAATTCCTCAGAGAGGGCTTGAGCAAGGTGAGCAGGGGCGCCCACTGGCGGGTCGGCGGAAGAGGCCGAGGCGGAAGCTGTCGTTGGGACATGCAGGTGCAACAAGAACCATTCCTCGTTAGGATTGGCGACACGTAGAGCGTGAGCATCGGTGAGCGAGACGGTTGTCACGGCTAAGACCGAGTCCTTGTAGGGCACTTGATGCTGAACTGGCAAGCTAATCGGAGGGGCTCGTCGAGCTTTGGGGGAATCGACGAACACTTCTCGGGTCCGCGGAACGTAGACAGCGTTGTGACGATGTATCCACTGGAGGGACAAGATCAGGGGTTGAGAACAACGTGGCAAGATATGAAACGTATCTTTGCTTGAAAAGCGGCCGATGCGATAGGCGAGCGAGACGGCGCCGAGGGTTTGCACTTGGCGGTCGTCCGCAACTTGCACGGTGAACTGCGTATCACGCTGTAGCAGAGTCTCGGAGAGGCCCAGCTGCTGAAAAAGCTGCTGAGACATGATATTGATCGTCGCGCCGTGATCGAGCAGGGCAACGGTCTGGTGAGCATGAACTCGGGAAGAGCTGACGCTAACGGGGAGCCGAATAAGATCGGGTAAGGCGAGCTGAAGCGGCGCGGAGGCGTCGCCACGGCTGAGGGCTAAGCAGGGGCAAACATGTAGTTGACCCGGAGGAAGGGACGCGGCCGTGGAACACGACGCGTTCCGATCAGGCGGCAGCACGAAATGGCTTAGCGAGCTCCGATGAGGAGGTAAAGCGCTGCTACCTGGTAAGAGAGGGCTGGGGCAAAGACCAGCGGCAGGAGGAGCAAGTGATGCTCCCCTCTCATTGCCTACCGCTGCTACTCGTTTCCCGCGCGCGATGCGAGCGGTTGAAGAGCAGCTAAAAGCTGAACATGCTGTTCGTGCTGGGTTGCCATGAGTTTCTCATGGCGCTCCAGCTGGAGGGCGACTTCGCGCTTATACTGCTCGCAGTCCGGCTTGATGTGACCCGGTTCTTGACAGTAAAAACAACGGATGGACTTCTGCTTGCGCTGGTTTTCTTTACCGTTGGACTTCTTCTTGTTCTGCCCACCGGTAGCTTTGGCCTTAGTGTGCGAAGAGGTCTGCGCAGCGTTAGCAGCAGCTGAATTGTTAGGCTGCTTAGACACTGTTAGCGGTTCACCATCGTCCAGAAGAGCTGTGATGAAAGTGACTAGGCGAGAGAACATGTCTTCTCCGTGTCCGTACTGACTGCGATAAATCGTAAACCATGTGTGGATAGACGTGCGCGTCGGCGTATGCGAAAATCCCTTGATGAATTTCCGGAGTGGCTGATCGTTGAAGTACAGTATGGCTGACCCTACCTGCGATTCGAGCGTTGCGAACAGTGTCGTGGCGCGAGTCAGGTACGCCCAAGCGGATTCGTTGGGCTGCTGCTTGAGCTGATCAAGCTGAGTCTGATAGTTCTTGGCTTGCCGCATTGGGGCTAGACACGAACTTAGATGAGTTGAAAATTCATCCCATTTAAGCTTGTTGATGGCCTCGAGACTCTTTCCGTACTTACGTTCTACCACCACCATCACTTCGTTGGTGAACAACGGCGTGATGCTTTTCACCCATTTGCGAGTTGGGATCTCTTGAGCGATTAATTCGCGGTTGCACTGACGAAGGAATTCTTCGACAGAGCGGGGATCAGCAAAACCTTTGTACATCGGAATGCGGCTGGAATTGAAACTCTTGGAGTTCGTTAGCACATTCACGAGAGTCCGATTGGAGAGGACTGGTTCCTGATCAGAGGATTCAGCGCTAGCCGATTCCTCAGCTGAATAGATATCAGCATTAGCCTCTTGCAGGGTAACTTTCCGTGCGAGAGGAGGGAGCTCTGGTGTTGCAGCAGCGTCGGCTGTCGCAAACTCGTCGGCAGCATTGGCGAGCATGTGGAAACGCTCGTCCTGCATGGTGTCAGCCAGGAGGGCACACATTCGACGAAGAAGGAGAAGAGCTCGGTCCTGCGCCACTGGCGAGGACATGACGGGGTCGGATGAAAAATTTTCCGAGCTTGGCAGACGTACCGATGTTGCAGGGGAGGCTGCTCTCTGAGTTGCCTCCTCTGATCGCAGAATACTTCGCAAGGGAGTATCCCTCTTGTTTCGGGCCCGTTGATCCGCGCTAGACAGCGCTTCACGTTGTACATCTCCATCCCTATAAGGTTGAGTCAAAGATCCACTGGTCTGACTCGGAGAAAGCTGCTGCTGCTGCAGCTGCAGCCGCTCGCTCCATTCGACTTCTTCCTCAGAACTCTCTTCAGCAATTTCTGTTTGAAATGCTCCTGATTGCTTGGATCGAGGTTGAGGGCTCCTTTCCGGCTGAGGTTTCTTTCCTCCTCTTCCTTGTTTCGAGGTCATGAATCAACCACTTCGCTTCCAGAATGTTGTATACACAACACAGAGATTGTCAACGACACGAGTAAAGTAAGGATGAAGAAGATTGAGAAGCAGGAAATAGAAGTCTCTAAGTTTACTAGGAGGTAAACTACGCACAACCACCACACTCACTGTGCATGCAAGTGGGGGAAATTCAGGAGGCCGTCCGCACGAGATGCGTCCGCCTATATAGGGAATATCCGGCAGAGTATCCGACGAGTATCCGAGGTTCCGGATCCTCATGGATACAACACGATGTATCGTAGCGCTGCTCGCCCTAGGATTGGGGCAGGATGAGGGACCTGCAGCCCTCCATTCTCTGTTGGCAGGTAGAATATACCATTCCCTGTACTTTTGCTCAGTCCTAACGCTTGTTTAAAAGCTCTGATCCACAGTTGATCTAATTCTTGTAGATCTCGCCAAGTCCATCCAGTCATGACTGCGGAGTAGCGAAAGACGTTGAGAATTCCAACTTTCACCAGGTAGAATTTTTGCGCAGGAGTATAACTCGACGAGCTGATGTTTTTGATCAGTTCTTTGGTTTTTTCAAAGACGTATGCTCGTTCTCCCCAAGTGAAAGGGCAGCCCTTTATTCTTCGTCTTTCTTCCTTCCACAGAGAGATGCGATAGCCGAGATATTTGAACGGTTTAGTAGCCGGTAGGGCTTCGACAGGTTCCCCCATGACCGTTATTTTGTTCGCACCAGGAACCTCTCCCTTGCGAGCATAGTCGAAGCTGGTTATCTCTGATTTCTTATTGTTGATTTGCAGTCCTGACCATTTGCAGAAGGAATCCACCACTGCTACCAATTCTCGCATTTCTTTCATCGTGTGTGCGATGACTCTACCATGTCATCGGCGAAGGACAGGTTGTTTGTTGTTCCTGTGCTGCACTTGTCCAATTGCCTAGAGAGGATGCATAGCACCAAGTTGGCCAATTGTGGGCTACTTGCTCCACCTTGAGGCAGCCCGATCATTAGAGGTATTTTCCCTGTGTTGAACTCGTTTGTTTGTATTTGCAGCTCGACTCCACTGTTGCAGGCTATCACAGTTCTAATGTCCTCAGGATGGAAGCCTAGGCTGTTCATTGCCTGCTCGACCACCTCGATTGCCACATTGTTAAAGAAGTTCGCAAAGTCAAGGTACAAGAGAATGAGCCTGAGACGTTTTGGCCTCTTCTGCTTCTTCTACGATCGAGATCAGTCGATGAGCCTGCCGACTTGTGCTTCTGCCTGGACGGAACCCCTCCTGGAAGTTTGTGAGGACGTTATTTGCTTCTACTGTCTTACTCAGACGATGCGCCAGGATTGCCTGAACCAGCCGAGTAAGCGTTGACATGACGCATATAGGCCGCATGTTTTCGAGAATGTGACAGAATTGATTTTTTGGCAGGAGGCGTACTCTCGCTGTCTTGTTGAGAACCTCAGCTTTGCCTTCTAGGGCTGCATTGACTAACTTGCCAACTTCCTCTCGGCATGCTGGTGGCAGCGCTCGCAGCACTTCGTTCGAAATGAGGTCAAGTCCTGCAGCCTTTCGTCTCGGCGCCGAGGCGAGCCAGACATCAATCTCTCCCGGTGCCAGGGGTCTGGTGATTTCCTGTTGTTGTCTCCTTGAAAGCTGCACCCCCTCAGGCGGTGTGATCCGTCTTGGGGCCACGGTTGTGAACGACTTACATTTTGTGCAGTACGGGGTCATCCCTCCCCCTCCGATGATCTCGTCGCTTGAGTCAGCCAAGGGGAGCATACATCCGATGTTTGAGCATTTTGAGCAGGTCCCTTGTTTCGTGCATGCGTTGACGCTGAAGAAGAATCTTGTATGGTCCGCGTCCTCAAGCTCTCTAACCTTCTGCATTGGGAGATGATCCGTGAGATCACGGTATCCTGCTATCTCCCATGTTGTTTTATCCGATTCTTCTAGTGCTACAATTGCTTTCGTGATTGTGTTTGCAGGTAGCAGTGATAGAAAGAGCCAGTCATCTGTCCCCTCTCGCTCGATCCCAATCATCAGTTGCTGGTTTGCACTCCAAAATGCTCTAACACCCCTCCTCCAAAATGCTCTAACACCCCTCCTAAACCCTAAACCCTAAACCCTAAACCCTAAACCCTAAACCCTACGTGACTGAGTAAAAGTACCAAGCCCATTGCGAAGACGCGTCACGTTAAACGGTCACGGTTGTGCCACCCGGTGACCGTGACATTCAGGGCTTTCAAGTCGCATCGCAGTGAGTCGGGCCGGGCCACCGGGATACAGGCTTGAAGCTCGGGCAACAAATTACCCGGTTCCGGGGAGGTAGATGTAATTCACCGTCAGCGATCATCGGATAGGTGCTTGGGCCTAAAGCCCTTGTCATGCCAGAACGGTTGAGCCTTCAATGTGCGGCGATTCAAGGCTTGGCCCGAGTCGACACCGTGTGACGAGTCAGCGGCCACCCTCAGCCGACCGTGACAGTGACTGGGCCCGATTCGATCGGAGCCTGAGTCGGATTGTTTTGTTCCGACTCTCATTCCCACTTGGAAATATTCAATCATTTCCAAGTTTTTAGGCCGCCGACGGTTCAAGCCCGTTGAAAGAACTAATAGTAACGGTTCGGAAAGGCTCCGAGCCTGTGCGCTGATGATCAAAAGACTTGCATGTCACTTGACAATAAGGTCACTCACGAAGATGGCGACGATCTGAAACTTGTTATAGCTATCGAGCGTTTTGTGCAATTTTTGCAATAGGGTTCACGAAATTTCGTTCATTACATTTTTAAGCCTGTGGGCCTGTATCATCCCGGGTGCTGCAAGAGAAGCCCGACCAAATGTGGTTTAGAGATTACCGGATTTTGTAAATTGCGCCCCAGCAGATGTCAAATTGCGCTTCAGTTCGGATAGCTACAGTAGATGAAGGGGAAGAGGAAGTGGGAGAGGGAGAGGGAGAGGGGGAGGGGGGGAGAGGGAGAGGGCGAGGGCGAGGGAAAGGGCGAGGGCGAGGGCGAGGGCGAGGGAGAGGGAGAGGGAGAGGGAGAGGGAGAGGGAGAGGAAGAGCGAGAAGGAAGAGGGAGAGGGAGAGGGAGAGGGAGAGGGAGAGGGAGAGGGAGAGGGAGAGGAAGAGCGAGAAGGAGGGAGAGGAGGAGGAGGAGTGAGAAGGAGGAGGAGGAGGATAAGGAGAGGGAGAGGGACTGAGGGGGAGAAGATGAAGAGGAAAAGAAAGAGGAAAGTAGGGAACCTTTTCATTTTTCACTAACGCATCCTTATTGACAGTTTGCTCGGTTCAAGACACCTTGCTATTAGATGACGACATGGTTTGATGACGGCGCTCAAGAAATTTGTACGCAAGATTCTCTCCTGTTCTTTCGCGCTCACGTCACAGTATTATTTTCTCATCCAACCGCACGCATTCTCACCCTTCTCCTTTCCTCTCATCCGGTCTTTCTGTTCTAAGATTCTTTCGGATCAGACAGCTTAGCGGGAAGAACTTCGCTATCTCTCGATGAGAAACAGCGAGGCATCGGAACTCGCTACTTTCATCAGATGGAATCAATTCCAAACTTGCAAATCTTTGAGCAGCATCAAGATGAAAGCATCTCTGCCGCAAACATTGATGTTTACAGGCAGTGCAGCAGACTCAGAGGGCTAACTTGTTTTGCAGGGAAGCAATCATTTCCTCTCGCATGCGTTGTCAAAGCAAACGTCTGAGGTGATGTCTGGAGTGACCTATCGGTTGTCTGCGTTGAGAGACTGGTCCTGGCTTTCTTTCAGGCTCGCTTGTGGAGGCAGGAGGCAGAAAGGCTACAGGCTCAGCTGTCAGCTCTTCTGGTCCTAGCACGTGAGGCAAGCGATCGAGTGATGACAGAAACGACCAGGTGCAGAAAGATGAACACGAAAGCAAGACGCTCGACATACAGCAGGTTCACTTGTTAGGACCGCACGCTCAAAGAAGAATTCTGACAAGAATGAGAAAGATGGACAAGCTTCAAGCTGAGAACGATGAGCTTCGAAGGAAGCTGGAATCGGCCACCCTCATGATAAGCGCGGTGCTGAATGCGTTAACGTCTGCCATCTTGACTTTGAGCACCAGGAAAACAAAAGCAATCGTGATGCCAACCAAAAGATCGCAGACCTTAAACGACAGGTAACCTTTCAAATTCAAGCAAAGCGTGTTTTCAAGGCGTGTAGCATAACGATGCTTCAGATCGTCGACCTTGAAATCGAAACTCTCTCACTCTCTCGAACCAAGAATCATCTCAGTGAAGAAGTAGGATCGTGCTGGCGCCGTCTCTTTGATCGCCTTCTCCTCCCTTCAGATAACTCTGAACCTGTTTCAGCTGCACACTGTGAAGATGGAGAAGAGAAATCTCGAGAGTGAGATCACAGTGCTGAAGGTACAGCTTGTCTCTTCAAATCATCACATCTCTGAACATGCACAGGAACGAGTCAAGTTTGCTCCGTGGGTGTTAACATGATACAAACAACCTCTTGACGCAGATATTTGCAGCTCAAATGTAGAGAATCAAGATGCGCGTTACATGAAGCTGCAGCAACAGGCTTCTTCTATTGATGTGCTCCATCAGTACATCTGAAGCCATCACAGATCCTTGACCTGCAGAAGACTAGCCTTCACTACCGCAAACTCTATGAAGAAGTGAGCTTTCCTGCTCCCCTCCTTTGAGTGACTGCCAGCAGAGCCAGCAAAGTGTCGATAGGCTCAGAAAAGCCATGGACGCGAAGAACAAGGAGAGAAAGTAAAGCAAACAATCAAGCCATGGACGTCAAGAACAAGGAGAGAAAGTAAAGCAGCCAACCAAGCCATGGACGTGAAGCACAAGGAGAGAAAGAAAAGCAAACAATCAAAGAAAGCCATTCAGCAGTAGTCCGAGTTGTTCCTATTGCATTTACTTCACCATAAAGACTATTTGTCCTCATTACTGTTCTTATCAGTGAACTCTGATGCAAACATGCACAAGACCATTGAAAATCTCTCAACAAACCTTATCAAAGTCTCATCTTGCTCTGCTTGCACAAGCAAGCATTGTAACATCTATGACAACAGCTTACGGGGAAACACACAGAATCCTTTGCTAGAGAAGAAGATGGCTATGTCTACAGGAGGAGGAGATGGCTATGCCTAGACGAGAAGGAGTTGGCTATGCCTACAGGAGGAGGAGATGGCTATGCCTAGACGAGAAGGAGTTGGCTATGCCTACAGGAGGAGGAGATGGCTATGCCTAGACGAGGAGGAGATGGCTATGCCTAGACGAGGAGGAGATGGCTATGTCTAGACGAGGAGGAGATGGCTATGCCTAGACGAGGAGGAGATGGCTATGCCTAGACGAGGAGGAGATGGCTATGTCTAGACGAGGAGGAGCGAAGGGTTGACCATCATTGCAAGAACCTTTCGACTAGGAACGCATTGAAAGCTTGGTTGGCGAGTTTGTACCGGAGATAACTATTGAGTAAAACCATTGGACGAAATTGGTACCTGGTAACTTGAGGAGAGTGGTAATTTAGATGAAACTGTGTTGATATGGGGCAAGTGGCCAAGTCAGCGAAGAGTCGCGGAGCGATGGCTGGTAAGCGAAGTGCAAGATGGCGGCAGAGAGACGCGAGGAGGGGGAGGGGGAGGGGGAAGATGCTAGACAACATGTCGAGGACAAGAAAGAGGATGGGAGAGAACTGGAAGGACAGGGGAAAATCAGATGAGGACGAAGTGATAAGACGATGGAAAGGAAAGGTGGAGGGTTTTAGGTTTGAAATCGACGTTTGAGGGACCGAGTGGCGGATAAGAGAGCGGAAGAGAATCCAAGGAGTGGAGGACATGAGACATTTGCCGTGTTGACAGTGTTTTATTTCTTGATGGTGTTTTATTTCTTGATGGTGTTTTATTTCTTGATGGTGTTTTATTTCTTGATGGTGTTTTATTTCTTGATGGAAGAAGCGATGCGATGTCGATGCTCGAGTTTGGAGAACATTGTTGTCGCAGTTGGACTGGGAAGGCGCTGAATGTGCTGGCAGGTGCTCGTTCTTACGGAGCGCTTCCATCCATGTCTCCGCGTACTGGGCCCGTTCGGAGGTGAGTGACCCCTAGCCCTTCCTCTCTACCTCTCTCACTCGCCCATGTCTGAACGTGTCAGCAGGAGCCATGTGTACGTCGGGGTGGTGGCGATATGTGCAGTCCTGGCTGTGCTGGGAGTGATTTCGTTTGAGAGGCAGCGGCAGGAGAGTCTGATGGATTCTGATCTGCCAACCTCCTTCATGCTCAACAGCTTGTCCTCCCATGATCACCACACTGCCAAACATCGCTCTGAGGACTTGCGTGTAGAAGACACCACCGGCAGGCTGCTGACCGACGCTGCCATCCAGTCCAGCGGGTTGTATGCCAAGTCGGACGCAAGTGACGACACCATCGCGGTCCTGGAAGCAGCGGGAAGGGTCAAGCCTAGGATCAGCGCGGCCGTGTCGAACAAGCTACCGGCTTACGTCCAAGTTGCCCACCAGGACGTCGGAGTCCCCGAGGACTACGATCACGTGACCCCTCCCATGCTTTAGACACTCTTGCGAGTGACTCTTGTCTTGGCAGGACCTTCAAAAGGAGCGGAGGCTCCGCAGCCGTGCAGCCCAGAAGCAGCTGGACAAGCTGAACCAAGGATATGCCAAGCAGATGCAGAAATATCTGACAGGCTCCGACGTCGTCGGCGACGTGACCGACGCTATCGACAGGAGAAGCGCCTCGTACCTCGCCAACACCGGGAGATACGGCAAGAAGATCTCAGCTGCTACTGCTTCCAAGATCCTTCGAGTAGCCAACGCTCAAAGTGCGCACGAGAAGAAAGGGTTGCTTGGTCCTGGTCATGCAGGGTCCGGCATGCAGCAGATCTGGAGGAGCGGAAAGGAAGCGAAGACCGCCATGGCGGTTGGATTCATGGTTTACTCTTACTTACGCACCTGACAAGGGCATACCAGGACCGAGACTTGGAAAGGAAAAATCAAGCTCGCGGGGTTGTCTGGACCAAGGATGGTTACTATCTGAGAATTGATCCCAAGGTATGTCCCTAGCTGCGACTTCACTTGGATAAGGATGAACGCTTACTGCTGCTTCTGCTTCTGCTTCTTGTATGCTGCTTGCTCCAAGCTGATTGTAAGCTTGCTTCACTGCACAATGACATGACATGGCTTACTGCGATATCGCGGCCTAATTATCATTGATGAAGGCGGCGAATTTCAAGGACAAAGCACATCTGCAGCAGTTGGATGACTGCTCCTGCAATGGCTCGACTGATGAAGACTCGGTGATGACGCGCGTGAGGCAACTCGTGGACTGACCAACGCTCAGGGCCCGAGATGCAGCTGCAGTGGCCAGCCTTCCATCGGCACAGTTGACCCCAGCATGTCACCATCTGAAAGAACCTACTGGGATGAGTCCTCCTCCTCCTCCTCCTCCTACTCCAGCAGCAAGCAGGTAAGAGAACTTGCTACCATAACTTAACTGATCGCCTTCCAAGATCCTTGCAGCCAAACCTTCCATCGCAGCAACCGCAGACAGCATCAACAGCTACCTGCAGGACCTGCTGCTGGCCAACCAGAAGCAGGTGAGGCGAAGGCGTCAAGAGGGACGAGGACTGAAGTGAGCTTGACAGGGGAAGAACGTGGCGAAGCTGAGCACGACGATCAAGAAGCTGCAGGTAGATGGGGAGGAGGAAGAAGGGGAGGGAGAGGGAAGGGAAGGAGGAAGAAGGGGAGGGAGAGGGAGAGCGGGGGGCTGAGGGGCTGGGTGTGCAGGACCGCGTGACGAGGGACCCGCAATCGCGAGACCTTGTGGCGAGGAAGCTTCATCTGCTTAGAAGCTCGATGATGAAGTCACAGAAGCTGCAGGTGAGGAGGCGAGGGAGGAGGAGAGAGGGAAGGGGAAGAGAGAAGTGGGAGGGGCTGGGAAGCAGGGAGGGAGGCTGACAGGAAGGGTGGCAGGACGTGGACAGCGTGTACATCGCGCCGTCGGTGGACGACCTGGACAA